TCCTATTTTCTCTTCGTTTAATCACCTGTAAATGAGACATGGGGACATTTCATGTTTACAAATGTCCCTCAATGCCTTTATGTCACACAAATACGAACAACTGTATTTCCAATTTATAGTTTGGGACCTGTACTTGCTTTAATTCACATATATAATTTTTGGTGGAATTTGCTTCTAGGACCCTTTAGTTAATATGAGTGACATGCAAATCATTTAATTTTATGAAGTTACTTTCAGATTACACATAAATAGATTAATAAATTCCATGGTGGGAAAAAGGAATAACTCTAGAATTAGGATCTGGTGATAAAAACCTACCGTATTTTCATGACCATAAGGCGCACCGTACTAAAAGGCGCAGTCTCAGTTATGTGTGCCATTACTGTATTTAACACACACATAAGGCGCACCGGACTATAGGGCGCGGGTTTTATATTCAGGTACATGTCCTCTACTACGTTTAAATACCTCTACTGCGTATTTAAAAATAGAGCGGGAGGATCACTGAGTATGATTGTGTTTTATTCATGTATTTATTACAAAGTATTAATCAAACCCATCAAAGTCATCATCCTCTGTTTCTGAATTAAACAGCTGTGATAAATCAGACATGCCAATTTCCACTTCTTTGCTGTCAGAGTCACTTTCCGTGCAGGGCGGCACCTCGGAAATGATGCCGCTTTTTCAAAAGCTCGAACAACAGTGCCAGCAGACACGTTAGCCCAAGCATCAACAATCCATCCGCAAACCATGTGATTCACCGGGATGTCGAAAGTGAGCGGCACCTCGTCCATGATGGTGATGTAGCTTGGCTGGATGCGTTTGTCGCCTTATGTCCACGGAAACTCAGCTGCATCTTCTTCACCTGTCGGAGTTCGTTTTCCATCTTCCTCCACTTGCGAACCATCGGTTCATTAATCTTGAATTCTCTTGCGGCTGCTCGATTTCCATGTTCCTCTGCGTAGCTGATAGCCTTCCGTTTAAACTGTGCTTCATAGGGGTGTCTCTTTGCCATTTTCAGGGTTGGTATGACAACAATGTTCTGCATAAAGCACATTTGGTTTGGAAGTTATACCTCGAAACATAGTGTTTCTTGTAATAATGTCCATTAATTGTGTAGGGATCTGAATGTTTGGTAAAATAGTAAATGGCCTGTACTTATATAGCACTTTTTCAAGCCAGGAGACTTGACCAAAGCACTTTACACTACATTCAGTCATTCACACATTCACACACACACTGATGGTGCCAAGCTACATTGTAGCCACAGCTGCCCTGGGGCTCACTGACAGAAGCAAGGCTGCCGTACACTGGCGCCACCGGGCCCTCTGACCATCATCAGTAGACAATGCAGGTAAAGTGTCTTGCAAGGACACAACACTGAAAGTCAGAGCGTGGGCCTTGAACCGTCAATCCTTCGATTTCAGGGCAAACTCCTCCACCCGACACCACTGTCGGCCCAAATGTTAGTGATTTCTGAACTTGAATAACTAAACAAACAAATTAACCCTCTAAATACATGTGCTGGATGTGATTTAGTGAAAGCCATAAAGTTATTTGTTTCACAAGGCAGTGAAGTAATTGTTATTGTCAGTTAAGTTACAGAATGTAAACTTCTTTCTCCCTTGACTTTCTAGCGCAGTCAGGGCTACAGTTTTTTTTAATGTTCATGACGCCTCATCATACTGCTAAAGCAATAACAACAAATAAGTCATTAACCCTCTCTAAAGACTGAAATTCCTCCAGGGAGTAAAGAGTAATTTCAAGTGTAGGCTTAGAGCAACAAAGTTTTTTCCAACTTTGAAGTAAAAAACATTGTTGTTTGTGAAGGAAAGAAGGATCAATGTTTTTTCCTTGAAACTTTTATTTTTATTTTTTTTTTTTTTTTTACAATTTGTCATACAAAACATTCTTCATTATATATATTTTGGATTTTATGTGGGGGACCACAAAAAAGTTATATGGAAGCAATAAATGTTTGCTTTCTTAGAGATCTCTTCTATTTTTGTGTTTTTCCCAAAAGTGTTTGGGACATGAAACAGATATCAGATAAAGATAACCCTTACTAACACAAAGTTTAATTTACAATGGGATAAAGTTAACAAACTCAACCCGTTTGGTATATCACATTATTGTTGGTTGGAACATACAGACTAGTGAATGGGGAGCTTTGATTTTAAGCTCAGCTTCTTCATCACCATCACAGAGCAAAATAGCCCTAATCAATCCTCTTTCATTCCTCTATAGCTATAAGACTGCAATATAATGAATTTTGAACTGAATCTTAAATTATTATTAGTTTAAGTCACATTCTGTAAATTATTATATGTGACAATTTCAGTCGTTTAAAACTTAAAAAAGGTGTCAGTCAGTAATTTTTAAAACAGGTAACCGTTACAATTTCAAATAACCAGATTCCTTACTGGACAGATAGCTCTTGCCTAGGTAGTACAACTGCTGTATGCAGACTGCTGCTTTGCTTTTAGGAAAAAGCGTCTAGGAAAAAGTCTGTGTCAGTTTAAATAATTTTAATTAATGAACAGATATCACTGATGTGAATAACAGCATTATAGAAAACAACTGCACAGTCAAACTTAGTACTTATTGTTTTGCTACTTATTTATTGTGTGATGTAGGACATCATAAAAATGAGGATCATGCACAGGCCTTAGCTCTTTGAACAATGTTTTTATACTTTCTTCTCAGCTGCTGCCAGGTGTGTTCCTCCCTGGGATTGCAACTGAATAGAATACATATATATACAACCATTCAAGCAATTAACTAGTTGGCTACCAAAATGTTATTGTGGTTACAACAGACCACATATAAACCTATGCATTAAATAGAGCAGCAGTCTTCTCCAACCCCATCTCTCTCTCCTGTGCAGCATTATTGCTGTTGCTCTCTCTTCTAAAAACATTCTCCAATCCGCCTTATGGCTGCCAGTTGGGAACCGGCGTATGCCAGATGAAAAACTGTATATACAGTTTCGTCAAAAGTCCTACATGGGCGCTGAATATCCTAACCTGGTTTTATTGACAACATATTTTTTGCCTTTCTAAAAAAGTTATGTTTATATATGTAGTTGTAAACGTGTCTATGTCTTGAAAAATACATAAAAGAGTTATACCATTTGCTTTGACAATGTGACTAAATGTTCTGAAAACAGCAGCATATTGTCATTAATACAGTATGAAGTGGATCGTGAGTTATCTGCTAAGCATTGTGCATTGGTGCATTATGTTGCAAAAAATATTTGCTCAGCCATCCAAATTTTCAGAATCAGGTGCTCCAATTACTTCTATGGTCACAGGTGTATAAAATCAAGCACTTGGCATGAACCAAGAGGAGAGCCACAGATTCAATGACAGCGTTCCTACAGTAAAGCGCTACTGAAATCAATAAATGTTTTCATGATTTGTTCATTATGTGCGGAAAAAAAGATTTTATCAACATTGGTTAGAAGTTGTATTAAAGAAGATTCTCACATCAGCTACACAATGACTAACGGCTGAAACGGCTTTAATCAGCACATGTTCTGCTAGGATATTTTTTTCTGGAATTTTGTAAACTCTGTTTAATACTATTGCAAAGTATATATTTTATTTTTCTTGAATTGTTTGTAAAGCATTATTTTTCAGGTTCATACCTATTTTATACCCAAAACATCTAATTTTCTTTTATTATAAACAAGAAATATTTCATCTCTACATAGTCATATTAAAAATCACTTAATAAACTAAACACCAAAATGATAAACTTTTTTTTTTTATATTTTCAGATGTGTAGACCTTTCAATTACTTATTTATTCTATTCATTAATAACAAACACCATATATTTCTGAATTGAACCTAGTTGTATTTAAAATTCAAACAACAGGAGAGCTTACCAAACTCTTGAACACTTTGGATCATAAAAAACTACTTTGGCTGGTAATGAGCTACTTTCACTAAGCAGTAACTCAGTTACTTACTCACTTTTTTTGGAGAGGTTAGTAAAGAGAACTTTTTCTTTTGAGTTTTTAGAGCACTAGTGGCTTGTTTTTTTCAACAGTAGGCTGACAGGAAAGGGACTATGAGAGAGAGACATGCGGGAAAGGACCACAGGCCGTCTTCCAACCCGGATCGCCTGCATCAAGGACTAAGGCCTTCAAACATGGGTCATGCGCGCTAAACACTGCGCCACCTGCACGTCACTAGTTACCCTTTTTTAACTTACTTGATAAACACTTATTGCTACACAACTCCGACTACACGTGGCCTTCAGATTATCTCTATAACAGTCAGTATAGAGCCTCATGAAATGGGTTTCCATAGTCGCGCAGCTGCCACAGGACTTCGAAAAAGTGGAGACGCTTTGTCTGGAGGTACTTATCCCATTTTTTTTATCCAGAAATCTGATGGAAAAGTCTGGGTTTGTGAGTTGGCAGGAGAGCAGTGCTTGTCTGACTGCATTTTGCAGGTGGAGGATGGATTATGGTGTGGAGTTGTTTTTCAATAGCTGTGTTTGGCCCCTTAATTCCAGTGAAATTACCTCTAAATTTTTCTGCATACAGAGACATTTTAAACAATTCCATGCTCCCAACATTGGAGCTGGACTCTTCCTTAACTCTGCACAAAGCAGGGTCCATTAAACCAGTGTGGTGTGGATGTCCTCATCTCAACCCACAGAATACTTTTGAGAGGAAATTGAAAGCATAGGCTTGGAGCCAGGCCTTCTCTTCCAACATCACTGTGTGACCTCACAAATGAGCTTCTTGAAAAATGGTCTAAAATATCCAAGAACCCCCCCTAAACCTTGTTAACAGACTTTCCAGAAGAGTTGATGCTGTTCTTGCCAGAAAGTGTGACCAAAGTCATACTGAAACCCTATGGAATAGGAATAGGATGTCACTTTAGCTAATTTGTGAGTCCAGGCAGGTGATTAGATACTTTGGGTGATTGTATATAAACAGCAGGAACAGAGGAGCATTGCTTCCATTTTAGTTAAGTTTTGCTAAACATAGCTTGCTGAGGAAGACCACGAACAGATACATAAGGAAGCAATCAGATGGAATTTTTTAACCCAGCTTTGGAGGACAACATAACTTTTGTTCGTCCTGCATATTTTTACATAGGAGGTTTTGTTGGCATCCCAAATATTAACTACTATTTCTTCTTTCTCTTTTTTGTTTATGTTTTTTCTGTTTTAGGAAATGCAACTGTTATGGTTGTCATCATTTTTGATAATACTCTCAGAGGTCCTAAATATGTTGCAGTTTTTAGTCTTGCTCTAACTGACATTTTAAGCAGCACTGCTTTGGTACCAAAAGTTATTGACATCTTTTTGTTTGATCATCGTTATATTTCCTACAATGAATGCTTGACCTTTATGTTTTTCTGCTTCACACTGCTTTCAATGCAATGTCTTAACCTTGTTGCACTGTCTTATGATAGACTAATAGCTATCATGTACCCACTGCACTACCAAATCAAGCTGACCAGAACATTTATGATAAATTTGATTATTATGTTATGGCTCATTGTCATAATTCTTGTTTTAATTGCTGTTGGCCTTATAACAAGACTTTCATTCTGCAAGTCTGTTGTTATTAACAGTTATTTCTGTGACCATGGCCCTATTTACCGGATTGGCTGCAATGATGTGACCCCCAGCCGCGCAGTTTCTGGTTTGTTGCCGATTCTTCTGCTTTGGATTCCTCTGGCATTTATCTTGGCAACCTATGGCTGTATCGGTTATGCACTATCAAAAATTTCCACAGCACAGCAAAGAACAAAGGCATTTAAAACATGTTCTGGTCATCTTTCATTAGTTGCAATTTATTTTCTCCCAATTACATTTGTTTATGGCGCTGGGAGCAAAACACATCCAAATGCCAGGATCATTAACCTGTCCCTGACTACAGTTATACCGCCACTATTAAACCCAATTATATATGTTTTTTACACACAGGAAATGAAACAATCTTTGAAAAAGTTGATGCACATAAAAGGCAAGACTAAAATAATGGTGAAAAATTAAATTACTCAGAAAAAATGTTTTATAAAGTATAGTAAGGTCCAATAAGGAAAGAAGGTGTGAAATAATTATTTTTTAATTTTTGTTGTACCTTGTAAAGATGATAGATGGTAAAAAAAGGTGTTTCTTATAATGCAACACTGGGAACTGCACACCCTAAAACCAGTTTTAATGGCTGTAAATATGTGACACTGTAAAATTAACTTGAAAATTGAAAAAAATGGAAATGTGCTTTCTTGCTCAAGTATTTTACAGTTCTATGTGTGTACAGTATGTCTTAAAGTTTAACTGAAGTTGATCTATTTGTTTGTCAATTCTGTCACTTAAAATTACGTGAACTTACAATGATATTTGACATTATTCATACCGATTGGTTTAAATACGGAACAAACCAGAAGGGAAAGCCATTTTGAAGCATTTCAATATGGAGGAAACAATAAAACCCTTACATTCCAGATTTTTATAATTTTTGTGAAATGTGTCTATTTTAAATAAATAAAATCCTAAAACATGCTATTAACCAACAGAAAAGTTAAATTGTTTTTCCTTTTTACACATATTTGTCTGAATACAGAAAAGTCCCAGCTCTTCCTTAAATAATTTGTATTTAAAAAAAGGTTGCCCAACAAACATTCCAAATCAGAGAAAATATATTCGATTTAGAGTGTGTCCAAAACCTCATTTTTGAAACATACATTACAGTTCTTTGTGTGTACAGTCTTAAAGTTTAACTGAAGCTGTTTTATTTCTTTGTCCTTTCTGTCACTTAAAATAATTTAAAATAAGTATATGTTAGGTGAACTACGATGATATTTGAAATTATTCATACCAATAGGTCTAAATCCGGAGCAAACCTGAAGGGAAACATAAAAGATGGAACAGGTGACATTCTGATAAATATATTTTCCCTTAAATAAAGAGATGAACACAAATGCAATTGTTGAACCAAGTATTTACTTGTTTATAACCAGTGAAGGGACACTTCTGCTTTGGGCTCTCCTCACAATGATCCTAGGAACTTAAATAATTTCCATAGCGCAGGAATAAGCAGATCCTATAAAGCCTGCATAAATCATCTTTTAAGAATTTCTTACCCTTTTTAACAGTTGTTTTTTTTCTTTTTGTTAGAATAACAAATCTGAATCTTATGATTAGAAACCTGTATCTTGTTATGGTTGTCCCTTCACTTTTAAACCATTTAATCTTTGTGTTTTAGGAAGTAAAACAATTGTAGAAAAAGTTGACAAAGTTAAGAGTAAGTTTAAAGAGTCAAGGAAAATATAAACCATCCAAGCTAAATGTGTTTTAGCCCTTTATTACCCGCCATAGAAATAATTTGCCGCAGTATATTTTTACATGCGGTAAATCCATATATTGAAGCATTTCAATATGTAGGAAACAATATAACCCTTATATTCCAAAATGTAATAATTTGTGTAAAAAAAGTAAATTTTAGATACATAAAATCCTGCAAAATCCTGAAAAATTAAACCGTTTTTCCTTTTTGCACATATTTGTCTAAATACAGAAAAGTCCCAACACCTCAGAAATTATAATGTAAAATAAAGTTGCACAAAATCATTCCAGATCAGAGAACATATATTTAGAGTGTGTCCAAAACTTCATTTTTGAAATGCACCAACTCTTGTAAGCAGAGACAAAAATGGAAATGAATATGGTGAACCATTTGAGAAATATATTATATGTACTTCAGTGCAATGATATCTTTAATTTTAATTGATACATATGAATACACTTTCAAAAGTTCACAAGAAAATATTCAGCCAATAAAAGGTGTTAGGAACGACAAAAATTCTAATTATTTTTTTTACTATATTGAAACTTTATAACAGATACCCTCAAATTCAGATAACATTATTTATCAAGATATAAACAGCAGAATGAACTTAAAACTGAAAATCACCAGAAACACAACAAAATAAGACAAACAACAAAATAAGTACATTTGAATTGAGAAAGCTTCCTGGAGAGGTGGCGAAACGTCTTCAAATCCTGAAAACCAAGTCCAGTGGATATTTTTTGAATTTTTACGGAATGACTATGACCTGGATGACTGAGAACCTTCATCAGCATACAACAAAATAAGAATTAAACCACTAAAACCAGGAAACAAGAAGCAAAGTAAAACTGAGGACTCAAAAGAAAACATAACAGAACCAAAACTGTAACACTACCCCCCACTCAAGGGTGGATTCCAGACGCCCGAAAACGGGGGAACCAGGAAAGGAGGGCAAGAAAACAAAAACAGAGTCCAAAAAACAAACCACCCAGGGTGGGCGAGGGCAACAGAAAGTCTCTGGATGCTGGCCGAGGGGCCGGAGGCGAGGCAGAGTCTCTGAAGTCGGGGCAGAGTCTCTGGAGACCCGCTAAAGGCTCCGACTCGGGATCTGGCCCGCTAAAGGGCTCCGACTCGGGATCTGGCCCGCTAAAGGGCTCCGACTAAGGATCTGGCCCGCTTAAGGGCTCTGACTTGAGTTCCAGCTGGTGGGGAGCTGATGGAGGTAGAAGGAAAGGGAATAGATCCTCCCTTTCCCCATAAAAGAAGTTTCATAGGTTAGACTCCACAATATGGGGAGCTCTGACTGTGGGGGGTGTGAAATGAGGACCTGGTTTAAGTCTTTTCAATGACGGGGCTGACTTTTGGTCATAGAGGTTAAGACTGAGGCCGCAGGAGAAACTGACCTGGTTATGAGGGGTACTGAGGCTAGCAGCTGGCTGACCCACCGGAGGGGAGGAGGTGGCGATAGGCTGACTCGCCGGAAAGGGAGTGGAGGCGTCAGGTTGACCCACCCGAGAGGGAGAGGAGGCATCAGGCTGACCCGTCGGAAAGGGAGTGGAGGCATCAGGCTGACCCGCCGGAGATGGAGTGGCCTTCTTTCCCCGGCGGCGGTTCCGACACCTGGAAGAAGCAGATGGCAGGGGGGAACCAACAGCTCGTGAAGGTGAAGAAACAGGATTAGAGGTTCTAGATTACTGAGGTATGTCACAGAATGATGGTCTGGGTGGTGAAGGTTTACTGAATAGCTTAGCAAAGGCATCCTGTATGTTCCACTCAACTTGGGCAATATATCCTGCCTGAAAGAAAAAGGTCCGGAGCTCTGGATATTGTTGGAGTCCACTGAGTACTTTTTCTGTGGTTCCCACCTGCTCCCAAGGTGAAGAGATAGTGGAAAGAATGTCTATATATTGTCTGAGTTGTTTAAAGGTATACTATGCAACCGGTGTTAATTTTCCAGCGAGGCTCCCCCCAGAGGACGAAAGTAAAAGTGCACTGTTGTAAATATGCACAGCTGTTCTCCTGGTATCTCCGTCAAGCCAGGCGCGGTTGTTTTGAGCTTAGCAGACAGGCGAACGCAACGAATGACTACTGCACAAAGATCGCCACTGTGCTAGCAACGAACATGCTTTTAACTGGGGGCGTGTAGCAGTTCTTGCCGTAAAGCAAGACCGACTCTCGTGACTTCTGAGCCTGTGGGTGCGGGCCGAGGGCTCCTGCAATTGCAAGTGCGGTATTTCCCCCACAGACCACCAGGGCGGCCGAGAATACCTTTGTTCAACCTGAAATGACTCATTTAATCATCCAAAACGTTATGGAACACATTAATTAACTGAAAAATGTTGCATAGTGTGCCTTTAAGAAAGTCACTTGCCTTTACCTTAGGTGGCTCTGCTGGGTCCATGTTGGCTGGTTCCTACTGTCAGGATTAGGTTGTGATGTGAGGACCCAAATGCAAAGACAGGGAGGCAGAGGTGAGTTTCTTGACGATTTAATGAAGAGTAAAGAAACAACTGAGGCAGGAATCCAAAATCCCAAAAATCCAAGATGAAAACAAAGTCAAACAAACCAGAAACCTTGGAGAAGTCAGGGGGGGAAACTATCATGAGGAGGAAGACTCAGAGAGACGGAGTTAGAGGAAGTTAGACGAGGAACCAGCACCAAGGAACTGAACAGAGAGTGTATTTATGGGAGACTGAAACAAAGAGAGGACTAAGGAGGATATTGGGAGCAGGTGTGAACAGAGCAGAACAGGAGAGGAGCTAGGGAAAAAAGGAGAACACAAGAGGGCAGCAGAGGGCAACAAATAAAAACCTGAAAACTGAAAATAACCAGAAAACACAACAAAATAAAAATTAAACCACTAAAACCAGAAAACAAGGAGCAAAGTGAGGACTCAAAAGAAATATAATGTAAATATATATGTATATATTTATATTATCTTGGGTGGTTTGTTGTATATAGTATATACATATAAAAATGTTTTTTTTTCTGGAGCGTGTAACAAAAGTAATTTCCCTCTAGGATTATTAAAGTATTTCTGATTCTGATATCTGCTCATTCACCTAGGTTCTTTAGACTTTTAGTCACGGGTTGACTCCTAGACTGGCTGTTTTAAATCTGAAATGTAGTAACTTAGACTAAGATTATTGGGTGGATATAGCTGAGGTGAGGTAGTTTGGACCTAATGATGCTAGACAGTCCTAGCAAACTCAAAAGTTTTGGGAACTTGGCCAAAGTTTGGGTTAGGTTCCCAAAACTTTGATTAAAGTAGGCATAGCAACTTCTTAAACTTTTTTTTCAATTTGTTAATCAAAAGTAGAAAGTTTTTTTCAAAGTAATTGCAAAGTAAGGGTAAAAACATAGTTAGCAAAATGGCAACTCAAATACTGAATAATTATTCTGTTGTAACATCCAGCTTAATGTTTATAGTGATACAATCACAGAGATTAGGAAATAAATGAGAGTACGAAATAATCAACTCAGGAAGCTCAAAAAAATTTCGATATATTTTGTGGTGTAAATATTGATAGGTAGTGCATGACTGTCAGGACAAGATAAAGAATTTTGAGATATAATAGCTACATTTTTCATCTGCTCTTAGAATAATTAAAGTTATTAATTGGGGATAGGGTAACCGGACATTTTACTTAAGTACTGAAAGAGTAGCGATACGCTCACAAATTTAAATCATGTTAAAGTAAAAAGTACAGCAGCGTATGACTACTCCTAAAAGTACATTTCTTTCAAAAATTACTCAAGTAAATGTAACTGAGTAAATGTAGCTAGTTACTACCCTCCTCTGGAGAAGTATAAAGCGCCTATAAATAGTAGTTAAAGCCCGGCAGAATTTACTGACTGCTGGTGTGGAAATGTTCCCGTGTGTGCTCCTGCTGAGAGTAGGCTGGAAAATAATCCAAACATGGATTTATTCAATCCAGCTTCTGTAAAAAATATTACCTTCATCCGACCTCCCTATTTTATTATCAGAGGTTTCACTGACTTGCCTGAAATAAGATTTTACTACTATTTTCTTTTTGTTGCCTACATATTTTTGGTCCAGGGAAATACAGCTGTAATGGCTTTAATATACCTGGATCGTAATCTAAGGACTCCGAAGTATGTTGCCGTGTTTAATCTTGCATTTGTTGACCTGTTGGGGGGCACTGCTCTAGTACCAAAGGTGCTTGACATATTTTTGTTTAATCACTATTACATCCCCTACAATGACTGTCTAACATTCTTTTTTTTCTGTTACATTTGTCTTTCCATGCAGGCTCTCAATCTGGTTGCTCTTTGCTATGATAGACTAATGGCTATAATGTTTCCTTTGCACTATCATGTGAACGTTACCCATAAGATTATGTTTTCTTTGATTGCTTTTTTCTGGTCAGTTGCTTTATTAGCTGTTTGTATTGCGATTGGTTTTCTGACAACACTTTCATTCTGTAATTCTGTGGTTATTAACAGCTTCTTTTGTGACCACGGTCAAATGTACAGACTGGCGTGCAATGATAATTTTCCAAGTTTTGTGATTGCAAATTTGCTTCCGGTTCTGTTTCTTTGGCTTCCTCTTTTGATAATAATATCCAGTTATATATGTATTGGTTATGCATTAGCTCGGGTTACCTCAGCTCAGGAAAGACTTAAGGCTCTAAAAACGTGTGTAGGTCATCTTTCTTTAGTGGCAACATTTTTTTTTCCTATAATAATCACATTTATTATGGGTCCTAGCATACATCCAAATGCCAGGATCATTAACCTCTCTCTGACCTCAGCTATTCCACCAGTGTTGAACCCATTAATTTATGTTATGCATACACAAGAAATGAAATTATCAATCAAAAGTTTGATAAAAAGAAGGAATAAATCTAAAATTATGAATTAGTTTTTCAAATGCCTATTTTTTTATATCCATACTAGAAAATTAACTGTCTGGAATAATTTGTCATACGTTTGGCTTTGTGACTCAGGAAGACTCAGTAGCCTTAGAATTCTAACTTTTGTTTCAATAAATTAGGCCTGAAATTATTCTCCTCCTACTTGATTTTCAGTTGAATTCCTCCCTGTCTTTAATGTCCATATATGATGGGATCACTAAAGAAATCACAGTTTGAGAGGGATTTCATGTTTAAAGTAACACGCATGTTTGTTAAATGTAAAACTGTTTTCTGTAAAGAAAAATTCCATTTATGGTAACTCCCATTCTAAAGTAAGTATTCTAGCATCATAACCCTGTCTTTGTTTTCCTACAAATGTAAGAGACCATAAGATGTCTACAATTATACATATAACAATAATGCACTCAAGTTAAAATAATAAAGCTATATTACATGTTGGGTTTCCTCTTGTTTCTATTTCATTCATGTATTATGAAATAACATGAATTGTTTTTTGACAGTACAACATCATAACAAAACTGCACTATCCTACAACTATCATTAGAATTAATAACAGCTTGGACAATGGTCCTTAATTTAAAAAATTAATACACAATTTATGGCTCAATAGACATGACCTGAAAAGTGCAAGGGAGTATTTTATTGTGAGATCTTTAGCAGAAAGTTTTAACAAACAATGCATCTACCCTTCTGTCTGAATTTCACTCTAGTTGGACCAGGACTGAATTGAATTGAATTCAGTTTAATAAAATAGCACCAATTCAGAAGACATGTCATCTGCACACATGCCTATTTGACAGTATAGGTGGATTGTATAATCCTCAGCACTAAGGCCAATGTGCTTCTGTAGACCAAAACCAAAGAATATTTACAGATTCAGATTGTGTTCTGAAGTTTTTTCCATTATTTTGGGATTGAATATGATTCAGTTTATTCAATAAGATTTAATTAATAAAAGTTCAAACTTGTTAAAAACATCAAGTTTGATTCTTTGAGTTAAATAAAACTAAATGGATGTCAGGAAGTGTGTTGTTGTTGTTTGGGTGTCTTTTACCCTGGGGAAAAACCTCCTTGTTGTCAGGCCACAGTCAAATATCCTTCAGTATGTTTCCCAATCAACATCGAGCAGCCAGCTTACTGACCTCCCCTTCCTCAATTGACCCTATAAGGGGTTTAACCTCACTGAAAGTGACATATTTTCGCGTGTTGTCCAATCAGGGCTCTACTTTCTGGCTGCTTACTGTAGTTCAATAGGTGGAAGCTCAAACCTCAACAGGGATTTCTTATGGAGGCTGACCGGTGTTCTGTTAGAACAGCATGTCAGCTCTGAGTGGCCATGGACTGCCACTCTGGGTCCCTGAGCAAGACCCTTAACCCCAGACTGCTCCCCAGGGGTAAACAGTGGCAGCCCACTGCTCTTCATGGGGATGGGTTAAATGCAGAACAGAATACAGAATGAATTTCCCCATTTTGGGACAATAAAGGATTTACATTATTACATTAAATTAGGTAAGATATTGTTTTCATTTTTAAAATCATAGAAAACAGAATTCCTTTAGGTTTGATTAAAATCACAGCAGCAACATGCTCATGCTACCCCAAAACGGAAGGGAGATGGTGTCCAAGAGCGGAATAGACAACTGACTGATGTGCAACATACTCATGAAATGAGGCACATTTAGATGCATATTTAATGTGGTTTAATGACTACATTCATGAAGTTTCAGAATGTATATTTTAGCAATAATTTTACAAAATTTACAGAGGAGATTTAGCCTCCCTAATATTCAATGAGAAATCGCCACTCCAGCGCAGATATTGGAATCTGCGTTTAAATGTCAGCTAAACCCATTTGCAAAGGAACAGATAAAGCCTTTCAATAAACCACAACATAACTGACTCAGTAAGCATTTCAATGAATTATTTTCACTAATTTAAGACAAAACTATTCATGTACTATTACTAAATAGTTAAATGCACTTAATATTACATATACAATATTCACCACTATATTTTAATGAAGATAGAAGATTCACAATATTCACAACTTCGCATATCTGATCAACACATGCAGAGAGCAAGATCCACTCATGCAGATAATAATTCAAACAAGCACATGGGATTTATATATTCATAAGACAAGATCCACAAAAGTATTTGTGATGTATCCACAATCATATCTTGATTTATACACTACCAGTTGTCTTTGGACATCAGTACGTTTGGGTGTAGATTTTTGAGACTCACCTGATGTGACTTAATGTACAAATGTATGAATTTTAACAAGCTATGATTTGCAACCAATTAGATGATTCAATTGTTTCAGCAAATTACAGGAATGTACATCACATATGCAATGATTTTGTTTTTGGAAGACTAGGATGTTGCTTTTGGTTGGTCCTACTCTTCTGGTGATTGGCTTATAACATAATTTTTGCCTATGTTGTATACTTTCTTATGATTGGCTAAAACAAGTCAGTCTTCAAAATCCATACACAATGCAGTGCAGACCTCTGGTAGTTTTTAATCAAGATATTAAACATCACAAATACTTCTGTGAATCTTGTCTTTTGAATGTGGGAATTTTATGCTGTTATTTGCAACATTATGTGCATGTGTGGATTGTAATGTGAATGTGTTGATCATGTATATGACATTGTGAATATTATGATATTTCTAGTTTCATTGATTTTTCTCCATTTTTTTTTTTTAAACCTTTTTCGGCTTGCTTGGACTCATGATAAATCATGGGATACCCTAGGCTACGAAGAATACACTTAACTTGTCTTTTTCAACCGGGCGAAAAGAAGGCTTTGTCAGTCACATAGGAACTAGTCTTCGAATTCAAACAGACCGTGGCGCCTGGCTATGACGTAATCAGCCGAGGAATCTGGTCTTCAGAGGACACAGACGCCAGACTTGAACACACTAGATTTGAAAATCTGAAACACCTGCACAGCACCAAGGAAATCAGCCCAAAGCTCAGCAGCAGTTTACTGTACAGCATCTAGAGACTGCTGCGGCAGCAGATGTTCCCTAGTAGGTCGAGAGAGGAAAAAGACAATTCAGTCAGAGCTGTCATCTTGTGTCTAAGCCGTGTTGCTGGAGTTTATTATTTCAGAGGACTTCACAACAGCTGTTTTCACCTGCCTTAGTAATGTGTTTTATGTTTTTTAACATAAATTTTGTCAATGTTAATTTTTTATGAATGAAATCTGTGACGTTTGGACATTATTAACACCATTGGGCCTCTCCTGTTTGAAAGAACAGCTCCAGCCCCTCTCTTTTAACATGAGACCTCAAGAATCTTTGGTAATTTCTACATATGAGGTCAAATCAAATATAAAATAAGCACTCAAATCAAGATCCAAATACACAACTCCCACTAAACAGACTCCAACAACCCAGAAGAACGATGGGTGTGGTATTGATTTGCATCTAACTTGGAATGCACATGGGACATGCCAAACTTTAGTCCTTGAGGGCCAGTTTGCTGCATATTTTAGATGTATCTCTGCTCAACACAGATGAATAAAATAATTAAGTCAGTTGCACAACTCTGGAGAACTTGCCTTTATACTGAGGAGAAACTTCAGCCATTTAAATGAGGTGTGCTAGAGCAGGGATACTTTTAAAAGTTGTGAAACACTGGCCCTCAAGAACTGCAATTCAACACCCCATGAGGACGCACCTCCATGGACGGTACTTAAAAACAGCACTGCTCCAACTAAATTTTGCTCTAGTGTGAGCCACCAGAATTGACAAAGACTCATTGATAGGTGCTGAATGTTTTGAACTGAACGTAAGTCTGATTTAATTTGCTTAAGTCTGTTTGGTGGTTAACTTCTAGGAATAATGAATACAGAGAAATTAAACAAAGAAAAATCTTACAATAAGTAAGTGATCACTCAAAAAACAGAATCAAAGCTCAAGCACCTTCATATTGAAGCAGTTACCTTATAGACAAAAAGACTATATTGAGCTTAAAGGACCAAACACAGAAGAAAGGCTTTCAAATAGTTGAAGCTTCTTAGAATTCTGCCTTTTTATATCAATGATGGGCTAATGTCTGCAGTACAGCCTTTGTTGATAGAACTGGGACACAACAGGCTTGAGAATACCCTTACCATGGAGCTATTCAACTCTGCCTTTAGAAAAAATGTATCTTTTGTGCGCCCCCCCTATTTTATAATAAGTGGATTTGTTGGCTTGCCTAATATGAAATATTACTATGTTTTTCTGTTTTTCGTCTTTTTTATTTCCGTGCTTGGAAACACTGTTGTAATGGCTGTAATATATCTCGATCACAATCTTAGAACTCCAAAGTATCTAGCAGTTTTTAACCTTGCATTTGTGGACTTAATGGGCAGCTGTGCTCTGGTACCAAAGGTTCTTGACATATTTTTGTTTAATCACTATTATATCCAATATAATGACTGTTTGACTTTTCTGTTTTTCTGTTACACATGCCTTTCCATGCAAGCTTTCAATCTAGTTGCTCTCTGCTATGACAGACTTATGGCCATCATGTTTCCTCTGCATTATCAAGTAAAAGTTACTCATAAGATAATGTTTTCCTTGATTGCATCTTTCTGGCTGTTTGCTGTATTATCTGTTCTCACTGCAATTGGCCTTCTGACAAGACTTTCTTTCTGTAAGTCTGTGGTTATCAACAGCTATTTCTGTGACCATGGCCTTCTCTATGAACTTGCATGCAATGACAATCTTCCAAATGTAGTTATTGGTTTTTTGTTGCCGTTCCTTATTCTTTGGCTTCCAATGGGATTTATCTTATCCAGCTACATTTGCATTGCCTATACTTTAGGTAAAGTGGCTGTAGCTCAAGAAAGAGTGAAGGCACTAAAAACATGCACAGCTCACCTATCGTTAGTAGCTATCTATTTCATCCCAATATTAATAACATTTACACTAGGACCAGAAATACATCCAAATGCCAGGATCATTAACCTGTCTTTGACCTCAGTATTTCCACCAATGTTGAACCCAATCGTTTATGTTTTGTATACACAGGAAATCCAGTTATCAATAAAAAAAAATCTGAAACTGAATTGGCAAGGCAAGGTTATGACTACTTAAGATCCTTATGTTGGTACAAAAAGTGTTGTTTTGAGATTACATGGTAAGCAAACAAAAAGTAGAGCAGAGAAATATTTGTCCAAGCTGTTATTTTTAAGTTTTCTAATAGTTGTTTTATTATATATGTAAAATATTCTTTTTTTGGCTTTGTTTAACAAAGTAAAACATCAGTTTTATTGAGTTGTTTGGTGTGACTTTTCTCAACTTCTAACATGCATGCATGGGTATGGTTCTTATATTGAAAAGTAAGTAATAATTATAAAATCCAAGACAATATTTCTGACATGATTACACGACCACCTTCACTCTAAATTATTGGTACAAAAGTCTTAGTACAACCTGTCCAGGGTGTACCCCGCCTCTTGCCCATTGACTGCTGGAGATAGGCACCAGCACCCCTCGCGACCCCAATTGGGACAAGCGTGTAAGATAATGGATGGATGGATGGAAGTCTTAGTATACCTGCTTTTATGTTGTCAGCTTCAAGGGCTAGAATCATGAGCTTGTCAAACACCCAATGGATAAAAAAAAAATCCAGAGAAATAGATTAGATTAAAAAACTAACTGTACAGTAAATTCCCATGTAGTTTTTTTTATTGCAGTCTCCACCTGTCATATCTGATAGCATCACAGTCTTTGAAAATGTATCTATGTAATACAGATTTAAGGTTGCAAATATCATGTAAATAATATTAACAAAAAAAAACATTGTGCTGCAATAAGAAGAAAAGAAAAAATACAGCTAAATGTATTTAACTGTATAAAACATGGGGATATAATGTAATATTATTGCCTAAATATGCTTTAGATGATTAAAAATGTTAAAAGATGTACTGTGTTAACCAGCTGTTCATAAAATTTTGACATTGAACGAGTCATAGTCTTTCGAAGTAAGTATTACTTAGAACTTAGATGTACATCTTACAGGTATAATTATGGACAAATATGTGCTACTGCTTGCATAAACTGAAGTAGGGGAGACCGGGGCTAGTTGTCACACCTTTTACATTCATATAAAAATATTGGAATCAGAACACCTTATATAAAAAACATATGTATCAGATGAAAGACCAAAGTCTCAGGTATATATTTTGTATTCAGGTCATTTTATATCTTATTACTGTGCAGTTATAAGCGATCTAATGGAGATTGTAACCATGTGACAAGTTGCCCCTCCACAGGGTAAGTTGTCACACTATAAGGGGTAAAATGTCACACTGGGTTTTGCAACCAATAAAATAATGGCAAAAATTCATTTTGTTGTTATTTTTTTAATGTTAAGTGAACAAATGACAATAAATCACTTTTACTGCTTATGAAATAATATGCAACAAGCATTACAAAACTTAAACTGATGCATGAAAAAAAGGAAATTTCAGGAGTCAGACTCCTCAACTGAGCTGCAGTTTGGGCATAGCTTATGTAGGTTGAATTGGCAGGAGCACATGCATCATATGAAATAACATGAAATAAAATGAAATATTATGAAACATTGATTATAAAACATTGATTATAAAACTGATTCTGGGACAAAGGAAAACCCCCAAAAAACTGAATTTATTAGTCACAATCCTCATCTGAGTTACAGTTTTGGCATATGTAGACAAGTGCCTCCTTCTTAGGTGTGTCAATGAGAATAGAAGTTTTTCTCTTTTTCTTCTGTGCATCTTTTATTCTTGGACCAGCTTTTGGTTAAGGCCTAATATCCTCTGGAGAAAATGTGTTAGTGGAGGATGCTGGGTCACTAGGGCCTTGAATAGCTTCTTGGTCGGTGCCTGGGCCTGGAGCAGCTGGGCCAGTGCTGGGTCCAGGAATGGGTGGGAAGGTGTTTGGGTTTGGTAGAGCATGGTCCTGGTAGGGGCGATCTGAGATGTAAGATGGCGCAAATTCTGTCTCCAAGAACACATCCCTATTGTAAGGCTGAATGCCTGTTGCCCGAAAACCAGCCTGAATATTAAGAGGGGTTGCAGCCAGGGGATAAGCAATTGCTACAATCCCAGGGATGTCATAAATGCTGAGTGTTTTCCCTGGGTTGTTCCTCATCCAGGAATCAGAGACAGAGTTTACATGCTTTTTAAATGGGCCATAAACACTTCTGTCTAAAGGCTGCAGCCTGTGGGAGCAGTGGGTTGGGAAGGACAACATGATGATGCCTTTTTCTTTGGCAAAATTCAGCCCATCAACAGAGAGATGTGAGCAGTGGTTATCCAGAAGGAGTAAGCAGGGTTTCTCCTTTGAGCACTTGCAATGGTCAACAAAATGCTTGAGGAAATCAACAAAGTGTGGTTCTTTCATCCACCCTGTTGGATTTGCTCCTCCTTTGCAGCTTGGTGGGCCATTGTTGATGAAATGATCACGAAAGTGCACCCGAGGAAATATGAAATAGGGAGGGGTGCTGTTCCCTGTGGCTGAGACTGCACAGGCAAGGGTGACCAGGGTACCCCTTTCCCCAGATGTCAGTGACCCAACCTGCTTGAAGCCACGCCTGACTACCAGTCGGTCTGGTTTCTGTACTGTTTTCACTCCAGTTTCATCCATGTTCCAGATATCTCCTGGACCCAAGGAATGTCAGCTTAATACTTTTCCAGATTGTCAAAAAAACACCTTACATTCTCCTTGTTAAAGGCACTAGCTCTGGCAAGACTAGTTGCCTCTGGTGTCCTAAGAGAAAGCGAGGGGTGCTGCTTTAGGAAGCCTGTAAACCAATCGGTGCTGGCTTTTTCTTTATCTGACAAAATTTGTGGAAATTTCATGCCCTTTGCCACTGCAAATTCATATGCCAGCTTTCTCACCTCTTATGGAGACAAACCAAAATATATGTCAGAGGATCTCTTGATGTAGTTCTCCAGCTGCAGTTCCATCTCAGTGCTGAAAACTTGCCGTGGCGATTTGTACCCAACCACTGTAGTTGGGATAGCTGTCTGACCCTGAAGTTCTGCTGGTGTGAATGTTTTACAGTATCGTGCCAAAGTACGGTAATTGATATTAAAGTCCTTTGCGGTACTCCTGATTGACTTGTGACCTAGGGTCACCTGCCTGACTGCCCGCAGCATCATGTCAGGTGCTGCACGGCCATGCTCTGTTTTTCTTTTATAACTCCTGACCATCTTCTCACTTTGTCCTCTCTTTTAAATCACTCTTTTTCTGTAAAGATAAAGTAAAAGTTTTATTAGGATGTATTGATTTAAACTATTTTTGAAAATTATTTTTGGGGTAAATTGTCACATGTGACAATTTAGGTACCAGCCCATCCCAGGACAACATTAATTAACCATACAACGATCAAGTTATTCAATTTAGGGAGACCCATCAACCAAACATCCATGTTTTTTAAATATGGGGGGGATACAACTATCCTTACCTTTCCTTGATCCACAGGACCCACTGCCCTGCATGTTTATTTGTGTATCTGCTCCTGCAAAACAAATTTAAGTAATTTAATTAACAACAAAGGGTGAGGGTTTGAGAGAAAAGCTTAGCATTCTGCACCAGCTTCAGTCGTGGGCGGTTGGCATGGCTT